AGCGAGAGAGAGAGAGAGAGAGAGAGAGAGAGAGCGAGAGAGAGAAACTAATCATAAAAATACCCTGTGTTTTTGGAACTAAATAATATAGCTAAACGGAAACCGATAGAGGCCGGGTTTAAGGGTTTATTCATTCAGTTAGGTTTTTTGAGGGGTGATGCATGGTGTTCCTGTCTATCTCGTTGCTTATTCGTTTTGTCAACACACGAGAAAAATTTATACAAAATACAGTATAATGAGAATATATTTGTATTTGATAAGAAATATAGGCTACACAACTTTAACTATTTAACTTTATACGAGTCCCCTGTTAATATCATGATATTATTGCCTTAAAATGTGATTTAAAACTTAGCTAAATATGCCTGAAGTTCTACATTTTATTGATCTTGCTCTAAATTTTATGGTAATAAGATCATGATCTTTGCTGGGGATCAAAAGGCGCTGAATGCCAGGAATGAAAATGAACATGTCTTAAAAATACAGAACAAACCTTTATTCGTAATGTCTTTCTTTTGATACTCGCTGTATTAAAAATGGCCGAGAGTGTTTACTTTAAGTTTACACAAAAAGGGCAAACAATGAACCTAACAATTAAAACTGAACTGATGCAGCAAGACTCTAAAAAGATGACAGGAATAAAAATGCGAGAATTAATACTTCTCATAGTAATTCATATAGTGTCCATTCGAGTGAATGAAGCTCCTGTGCAACTGAAACATTCAGTTCCAGAACCCGAGGCAGTTATTTACACTGAAGATGTACACTCTCCGTCAAGAGCTGCAGTGGAGCGACTGAGGACACGTGTGAAAGAGTTGGCCGTCCATCAAAGGCTTTTGTTTGGGACCATTATGCTGCATCCGACAATGACATAAGCTTCTACTTAAAAGTTACTGTATTATGCATTATACAGTACTTGTTTTTATGCTTGTCCAATGAGTTTGAGATATCTTAACATTTGAGCCTGCGGTAAACTCACGAGTGCCAGATTTAAAAAGAAGAACCCTTGTTTGCTTATGATCTAGGCTAATTTATCATGTACAACCATGTATTGACCTTCTGGAAACTCATTGACTCTTCATGCACGTTCATGCTTTGAACATTGGACTGTGTAATATAATTTCAACTTGATCTTTATCAGCAATCAATATGTTTTTAACATTTCAAAACACATTCTCATGTTAGCAGACACATTGCACTTTCACATGTGACCAACAATTCCTCAACAAATATAAAATATCATAATCAAATATTATCAAAATATTCATCTGATGGGGGTGACAGACCTGACAGAGTTGACAAATCCGACGGTGGTGACGAAAACCTAGTCATTTTCTAATACATTGAATCAATCCGTTACTATTAAAACAAAAACAACAAACAGTGAGTATGTTATTGTTTATAAAAGATTCACATTTAAGTATTTTGATATATCTTTGGAACACAAATGATCTATTTTCTCTCATCTCAGAACAGTATGTCTGCTGTGCATCTGCTAACACTAACACAGTAACTTTTAAAAACAGTTATATGAACAAATAAAACCATTAGTTGTTACCTCTATCCATTTACTTTCGTCCATTACTTTTTGTCCATTGCCTTTTATATTAAATAAAAAAGACAATGTATTTCTAAGTGACTAATTTATTTAGACACCAAAGTACTTCAGCTCTTTCTGTATGTCTCTAATATGCATGCAATTTTGTTTGACCTGATGATTTAGCTTCAGGGCCTTTTCATGCACACGTTATTCTTTGAAAATGTTGAATGTTAAATGTTTTTTTAATTTGTGGTCTAAGCCACTTTTGGAGCCTGCTTCACCACTTCATGGGCTGATTCTTCTTTTGATCTCCTGTAAAGGTAAAAGAGGACTGAATTAGGCCTTCTGTCGCCCAGCAGAGGAAGAGGTGGAACAAAGGACTTCAGTTTCTTTAGGGGGGAATGCCGCATGGTCCGCTTCGGAGCCCCAATCTCAGGCACATGTGCATTTTTGTTTGTAGTATCACTTTTCTTTTGCTCCTTAATCTCCTGGTGCAACTCATCTTGCGCCTCCTGCAACCTTGTGCTCACATCTTCTGGGAGTTTAAAACCGGTGTTTTGACCTTTCTTCGACTGCTCTGTGAGAAAAGCATTGCTCTTTTCACAGAGGCTCTGATCTTTTTTACCATCTTGCTCGCTCTTTAGCTCCTGTACAGAAGCAGCATTCATCTGGAGATCATCTACAGAAGAATCTTTCATCTGACGATCTTCTACAGAAGAACTGTTCGTCTGGAGAGCCACTACAGAAGAAGCATTTTGCTGTAGGAACTTTTGTCTGTTCTGGAGGTTTTGGCTCTGGGGCACAGCTCTTCGAGTCAAGCTGGCCCCTGTCTTTGTCTCCGCGGACTTATTTTGTAGTGATGTCAAGCTTGCTGTTATGTTTGTCTCCTCAGTCACACTTTCTATAACACTTTCCAAACTGATTTCGCCTTCTTCGTTGTTCTGTTGCTCTTCTTTAAGAGGACAATACTTTTCGAGAAAAGACTTTAACTGTCGCCTTTGTTTTGCCGAACGGACAGTTGCGTCTTCTATTTGTGCCATTATTTGGAGCCCCCTGTTGGCGAAATGACTTCTGAACTTTGGATAGGGAGCCAAGCTCCTGACGACAGAGTTGGGGATATAGCCATCAGGAGCAACGGGCCAGATAATTTTCTCCAGACGGGTCCACTGCTTTCTAACGTCGGACATCTTGTTTGAGTCCGGCAGTTTTCCTGTCTCCGATGCCATCTTAAAACGCGAGTTAAATCCGTCTGCAAGGAACGGCTAGCAAATAATCGCCAGCTACAGTAGCCTACATCCTTGAAAATGTGCGAGGGAATAATAGCGCGGTAACCTAACGAAGAATCCAGAACAGTCTCATAATTACGCGATTATGACGCCAAACATTCCAAGCATTTCAATCTTTAAAAGTAAACAACACGGTAGGACATTCTTGAGAACACTATAGACTATTAAAATGTTTTAACAAAGAGTGGAACATGTTTTAAAATGTAACAAAACCGCCAGATGCAAATAAAACCACCATCAATTATATAGTAGACTAGGCCTATGGTATATTATAGTTCCAACTTCACAAAGAGATAAAAACATCATCCACACACCATAAAAGTTATACATATTTCGTGCGGTTTTAGAGCTCCTTTGAAAGTCACTGACACACAATTCAATCAACAATTTATATTTAGGCTATATCATTTTTTTAAACCAAGAAATACTTTTTTTTTTAAAAAAAGGGACAATACACGTTAATTAACATGAGTAAACAAGTTTACTATGTAAATGTGCCAGATTTAGTCATTCAGGCTAATTTTCATCTGCAGTCCCTGGCAGGTTGATGGTAAGAACCATAATACAAATACACAAAGCAGAAACAAACATATTACAAAAAACATAATACAATAAATAAAATAACTATAGAAAAAAAACACTACTTCAGATTATGAAGACATATTTGATTATCCAATAACCACCCTTTTACCGATTCAGAAAAAGGAGCAAGAGATGTAATATTTCTTAATTCTATGGGTATAGTATTCCAAGTATGTACTGCTCTATAAGAAAATACTGATTGCCCAAAAGTACTTCTTCTGTGTGGTATTATACAGTCCCCTCTAGTAGTGGCTTTTAATTTTTAAATTTAAAAGAATTCAAATTTTTCCTGATAAATTTATTAAGTGGGAGCGGAGCCAAACCATGCAAAATTTTGAACACAAGTAAAATATCTGCAAATTTAATCATATTTTCCCAACTTAAAAACCCATATTTAATTAAAATTTCACAATGATGATATGAATTAGACCTTTTATCCAATATTTTCAAAGCCTGCTTATAGAGTCTTTCTATTGATTGCAAAATAGTCCCACCTGTCTGTGTCCAACTGGTAATTCATATGTGAAAAAATCATAGCATTAATGTATAACTTTGAGGCCTCAGTGGTTAAATTATTCCTAATATATCTAAAATTTGCCAAATTTAATTTAATTTTATTCCCAACTATTTTAACTTGTTTTTTAAATGTAAGTTGTGAATCAAGTATTATACCTAGATATTTATACTCTTGAACTACTGATAACCTTTTACCTGCAACTATAACATCTGGGTCGGGATCTCTATTTGCATACTTTGAAAAAAACATACATACAGTTTTGCTAACATTAAGATGTAAACACGAGTTTTTTAACCAATTTGTAATCTTAACCATTTCTGCTGATAATTCATCTGCCGCTTGTTTTTTAGTTTTAGCATGCAAGTATAAAATTGTATCATCAGCATACATCTGGAAATTTACAGCAGGTGCACAAACATCAGGCAAATCATTAATATACAAACTGAATAACAGAGGACCTAATATTGATCCTTGAGGTACACCAACTGAATTAATAAGTGATTGTGAGATTTTATTATCTACTCGAACACACTGTTGTCTATCCGTTAAATATGATTTTATCCATTTAATTACTCTTGTTGAGAAATTATAATTTAACAACTTTTTAATTAAAATCTCATGATTTACTGTGTCAAATGCTTTCCTTAAATCCAGAAAAACATGGACTTCTGAATAAATATAAAAACATATTTACTTCTGAATAAATATTTGTACATGATAGTTGACTGGCATAACTACTTTTTTTTTGTTGGAATTTTGACCAGAATTGGCGCCCTGATAGCACACATACATCTCGGAGACGTCTATTTGACGTCTGCATTTACATCTGGAAGACGTATTTTTTACAATGTTTGCTCATCTGCAATACGTCTATAAGACGTTTTCTATCAGATGTCATATAGATGTCTATTAGATGTCTTTAAGATGTTTATGATTTAGAATGTATGTAAAATTGACATCTTACAGACGTCTGTTCGATGTTTGTATACAGCAGATGCTTTCCAGCTCAAGTGATCTTTAACAGACATCTTGCAGACGTATGTGTGCTATCTGGGGGTCGACTATTACAGTAATATATTTAGATCATACACTGCCCCGACAAAAGTGAATGATCACACGGTCTCTGACTAATTTGGCACCATAGATTGCGCTAAAATGAAGACAGCAGAAGAAGCAGGAAAGAAAAAGCTCTTCATCTTTGGCATGAAGGACGTGGAGGCTGTTGACAAAAAGGAATGAGTGGGAGTAGAAGAATAGAAACAAGGACAGAAAGAAAGAAAATAAATTCCAGTGCAAGATAAACAGAGGTATTTCAACTTTATTTTGTGGCACATCATAAATTACATTTCCACCACAGTCATTTACTGCAATGCATGCTGATGACAGCAGATGGTTTATTGGTTTACCTACCAGTTAATAATTGCTGTCCATTTTCAGAGAATAATCTGCATAGAGAATCCTTAAAGCAAAGCCTTAACAGTCAAGCTCAGCTGAGTAATGAACATGAAACTTGCTATTTTTCTTAGGAACACAATATTCTTAAAGTATTTTCAAGACATGTTCATGTTATGATGATACACGAATCAGGGAGTAACATCTGTCAAAAAATATAATTCACCTTTTTGATATGAAACTGCTGAACAATGTACATGTAATCATTGCAATGCATATGGTAAATATTTAGACTAGTGCTGTCAAACGATTAATCGCGATTAATCGCATCCTAATTAAACATGTTTTTTTTTACATAATATATGTGTGTGTGCTGTGTATATTTATTATGTATATATAAATACACACATACAGTATATATTTAGAAAATATTTACATGTATATATTTATATTCATAGTTTAATTTACATAAATATATTTAATATATAAACAACATATTTTTCTTAAATATATACATGCATGTGTGTATATATACGTAACAAATATACACAGTACACACACATATATTATGTAAAAAATACTTTTATTTTGGATGCGATTAATCGTGATTAATCATTTAACAGCACTAATTTAGGCTATTTAAAGACCCAAAAATGGGTAATCAGTTTAAAGTTTTAACATGTTTATTGAGTTGATGGTGGCTTACAGACACAGTAACTAATGTATGAGTATTTAGCAATGATAGGATCAATTCATGTGTGAATGCAGATGTAGAAAAGTGTGGAAGTTTTGCACTTTTTGGCATTTACGCACATATACAAAACATTTCCAGCTGCCTATTTGGCACTGAGATCCACAACTAGATGCTGGTAGGCCATGGTCTTTCCTTTAAAACTGGCCGCTAACAGAATATCCTTATTGTCAACAGAGACCAGGCTGAAGCCTCGAGGCGAGAGCATGTTGAGTTCCTGGAAGGGCTGGAATCTTTGAGTGAGCTCATCCCACAGGTAGATCCGAGAGAAGGAATAATCGCTTCCCAGCAGAAGGTACTGCCTCACCCCGACGCTGAATGGATACACGGCCATTGAGCCCCGTGACGGCAGGGTTTGAATCTCTACGAAGCGCTGGTTGTCCCAGCGCAGGATCTTCGAGTCTCCTATGAAGCGCGTGAGGCAGAGATACAGCACTTTTCGAACCCAGAAGTGCTTCACCATCTGCACGTCGCCTGAATCGGTGATCTGAGAGTGGTAGGCAAACTGGCGTTGGCTGTGGTTCCACTGATACACCACAGGGGGCTGCGAGGCGCTAGAGAGTATGAGGCGAGGTTTGCCGTCCACCTCTAGGAAGTCGATGTGATTGTCTCTGTGCCAGGCATGGAGGGACTGGTGTGAGTAAAAGCCGTTACTGTTCCAGCGGTACAGACTTGTGGATCCGGCTTTAGAGCCATCAACTACTGCAAAATACCAGTCTCCTTCGATCTGGAAAGTCTCGATGAAGTTGGGTTTACGGACACGGGTGGTGTCGATGTCCTGGATTTTGACGAAACGCAATGGACCTTCCTCCCATCTGACAACAACAACAGGATGTTGTAATGATGCCATGATGATGATAATAAGCACATGCAAACAGATACTATATCAACCTTTGGGTACTGAAATATTTTACCAAATAAAAGGTGCATTCAGTAGTTTGGTGCTAATTTAAAACTGAATGAGATGAAGACTGTTCTTATTATAACTTTCTATAAAAAATATTTTAATTGGGCTGTGTGGTGCGGGTCACCCTCTACGAAAGTTTATTTCCACAATGGAATAAAAATTTAAAAAAGGTAATTGCAACTGTTTTTCTCACATTTCCAAGTTTATATCTCATAATTCTTACTTTTTTCCTCCGAATTGCAAGTTGTAACCTTACAACTGCACATTTACGCCAAGGAATAAAACAATAAAAAGGTAACTTAATCTTTAATCACACAATTCAGATTTTTTTTCTCAGAATAGTGAGATATAATATCAGAACTGTAAAATGTAAATTATGAATTGCAAGAAAAAAAATCTGAATTTTGAGACAAAAATTTGCTTTTGTAAGATATAAACTATATTTCTGTCATGACAACTCTCTGAGTGATTGGCATGGTAATGTACATGATAATGTTAATGTGTTTGGTCTTGGCGGTATAGATCGGCTACGCTGCTGCTGCTGCGGCAGAGCAAGTACCGAGACTTGCTACTGCCAATACATCCACAACATGCTGCTGTGAGCATGTAAGAAATACTGCTGCTACAAATATAACATACATGAAATAACCCCCATATAGCATACATGAATCACCTCGTAGCAGATCTATACAGGTGGACCTGGGGAAGGTGGAGGATTTCTGAAGTGCGCTGCAAAACTGCAACAGCAAACAAAAGCCAGGTATTTGAATATTAAGCAGTAAGCTCATTGGCTACCGATACAGGAGAGAACCAATCAGCTGCCATGTGACAATGATGTCGCCAGGTCAGATTGAGCTAGACCTATCGGACTGCGCCATCTAGAGTTTCATGCCAGAACTCTGTATATAAACTATATACTGATATATAAACAGAATTGTCAGATATAAATGGTTCAAACTGTTGTAAACTTTTCTTATCAGATTTCTTTCTTATCTTATCCTGTAAATCTACTTTGTTTTTTATCTTACAATTTTGAGAAAAAAGGTCAGGATTGCTAGAATGTTTTTGTGAAATATTAACTCAGAATTGTGAGATACAAGCTCAGAATTGTAAAATATGAACTCTTGAAATGTGGACTTTTTTCTCAGGACTGCAAGTTTATATCACAGTTCTGACTGGGTGGATAGATTTGATGACAGAGGAAAGTAGTGATGCACAAGTTGCTTGTTTTTTGTTTGGACAGGCAAAGGAATTAATTACTATGTATATCACTCTCTAAAATTCACTCAGTGTAATTTACATAAAACTCATCCTATCAATGTAGATACATTGAGCCATTCAATAGATGGCACTGCAGTGACTGCCAATGAGACTGTTGCGGTATCAGTACTTAATGTATGTGAAGAACAGCGATGTTAACGCTAAAGAACTACTTACTGCACCTTTAGCAAAAATAAATAAGTAAATAAAAATGTATTAAGGGTTAATTCTGATAATACACAAAGTACATCCGCACAATATTTGAGCCTCCACAATAGAGTCTTAAAAAAGTAGTGCACATAGTCTAAACATACTTGTAGATGTGGGATCCTCCAAAGAGCTGAGCCACAACCATGTAGAGAGTGTTGTTGATAACCACAGGTTTACAATACACAGCAGAACGAGCTGGAATACACATACATTAGTATTTGAAACTGAATGCAACTACATTTTAAACATGTAACACAAATGAATCTTGATGCATTTTGAGTAATGATTTAATACTCCAGAGCAGGGGTTTTCCAACCTCTGCAATATTCAGAGCCTTCCCTTGTGAAATGAAGTGTCTGAAAAGATTACATTAAGTTGTCACTGTTTTGCATAGGATTCATAAAAAAAAAAAAAAAGTGACGTGACATGTGGCCAAGTATGGTGACCCATACTCAGAATTAGTGCTCTGCATTTACCCATCCAAAGTGCACACACACAGCAGTGAACACACACAAACCGTGAACACACACCTGGAGCAGTGGGCAGCCATTTTTGCTGCGGCGCCCGGGGAGCAGTTGGGGGTTCGGTGCCTTGCTCAAGGGCACCTCAGTCGTGGTATTGAAGGTGGGAGAGAGAGCTGTACATTCACTCCCCCCACCTACAATCCCTGCCGGCACGAGACTCGAACCCACAACCTTTTGGGTTATGAGTTCGACTCTCTAACCATTAGGCCACGACTCCCCCATGAAAAAAGGGTTAGAAAACCACTGCTTCAGAGAACACCTCCATAGTTAATTTTCTATGAAAATTTCAATTTTTATTGGATCTAATGAATCAAGTAATAAAAAACTCCACTTACAGCTTTGTAGTTTTGACTTACATGTGATGTTGTAATGTGTCTTGAAAAGCATGTTCACATGATCCCAAATGAACACAGTGCAGATTCCAGTGTTGGGCTGAGCGAAAACTACGTACTGGTCATCGTTAAACTCGTATGACTCCACAGACAGGGACTGGAACGAGTATGTCTCATATACCGCAAAATCTGGATTAGAAGAGCATTTCATATCAGAGTCAGTGTATATTGTGTATATTTTCAAGGGGTGAAATGAAATGGAGAATCAAAAGGTTCTTGATATTTACACATATCATACTTTACTCTGAAATAAAAACAAACATGCAAGTTTCAGAACTCAAAACTAACGCTCCAGTTTACATGATAAATTATGCATTTCTACCCTTCTAAAACACCAGGATTTGAAATGGGGAGAATCGTGACATCACAATTTTCCTTGAAGAGTAAAACCGTCAAACTCAGATGTTGTTCTGTCAGTGGATGTAAAGAAACTGCACATCCAAAAACTTTGCGTAGCCTTGCTAAAGATCTGAGCATTAGATTCCGACCATTCCCCTGGTTAAGCCCATTATGGCGTGGTCATTATCGGCAATCCCCTCACTACCATCACTCACGTCACCCCTTGTGTAAGCCTTTCCCTCTCTGGTAACCACTGTGAGCAGATCGAACTGTTAATTATTGACTCCCCTAAGGCCCCGTTCATTTTAGGACATCCTTGGTTGCTGAAACACAACCCACATATTGACTGGCTCAGTAATTCTATTTTAACCTGGAGTCAGTCTTGTCATGTGTCATGTTTGGGTGCTGCTTTTCCTGCTGTCTCTGTGTCTTGTGTTTTGCAGGTGGATCCTGCTGACTTGACCAGCGTCCCGGCGGAGTACTACGATCTTCGTGCGGTTTTCAGTAAGTCCCGGGCCACCTCTCTACCTCCGCATCGTCCCTACGACTGTGTCATAGACCTTCCCCCGGGCACTTCTCCGCCTAAGGGTCGTTTATATTCCCTTTCCGGTTCTGAAAGAGAGGCCATGGACAGGTATATATGTGAGTCACTCCAGACTGGGCTCATTCGCCATTCTCCTCTCCCGCTGGGGTGGGGTTTTTCTTCGTTCAGAAGAAGGACGGCTCCCTACGCCCTTGTATCGATTACAGAGGTTTGAATGACATTACGGTAAAGAACAGGTACCCCCTACCTCTAATGTCTTCTGCTTTTGAATTATTGCAGGGAGCTCAGGTCTTCATCAAATTAGACCTCCGCAACGCCTACCATCTGGTGCACATTCGGGAGGGGGATGAGTGGAAGACGGCATTCAACACCCCCTCGGGACACTACGAGTAGCTGGTTCTTCCGTTTGGTCTGACCAATGCTCCGGCCGTTTTCCAGGGTCTCGTCAATAACGTTCTGGGTGACATGATTAATCAGTTTGTCTTTGTGCATTTGGATGATATTCTGATTTTCTCCCCTTCTCTCCACTTACACACTCAGCACGTTAGACGGGTCCTCCAGCGCCTATTAGAGAACCAGTTGTTCGTCAAGGCGGAGAAGTGCGAATTCCACGCCGAGTCTGTTACGTTCCTTGGCCATATCATCTCTACTAGGGGGATTAAACCAGACCCAGCTAACATAGAAGCTGTCGCCAAGTGGCCAGTCCCCGACTCCCGTAAGGCCCTGCAGCGTTTCCTGGGTTTTGCCAACTTCAATCGGCAATACTTCAGGAATTTTGGTCAGATCGCAGATCCGCTCACGGCATTAACCTCCACCAAGGTGTCCTTCAGGTGGAACCAGGATGCTCAGGTAGCCTTTGACACATTAAAGTCCCATTTTGTCTCTGCACCTGTTCTGTTGGTTCCAGATCCTGAGTCCCAGTTCATTGTCGAGGTTGACGCATCGGACGTCGGGGTTGGCGCAGTTCTGTCTCAGCGATCCCTCCGCGATGGGAAAGTGCACCCCCGTGTGCTTTCTTCTCTCGCTGTCTCAGCCCTGCAGAACGTAGCTACGACATTGGCAATAGAGAACTGTTGGCGGTGAGCTTGGCCTTGGGGGAGTGGCGTCACTGGTTGGAGGGGTCGGCGCAGCCCTTCTTGGTCTGGACGGATCACAAGAATCTCGAATATATCCATTCGGCCAAGAGGCTGAGTCCTCAGGCCTGCTGGGCACTTTTCTTTGGCCGATTCAACTTCCCCCTCTCGTACCGGCCAGGGTCCAAAAACATCAAGCCCAACGCTCTCTCCCGCCTGTTCTGGGCTCCGGAGGGGGAGCTTACGGCCGAAGCCATCCTTCCTGAAGAGGTGGTGGTCGGGGCTCTTTCTTGGGGTATCGAGCGGTGAGTAAAGGAGGCCGGTCGAGGGGTGCAAGTGCCAGGGAGGTGCCCGGCGGGCAGGTTGCCGGTGCCGGCTGTGCTGCGCCCCGAAGTCCTTCAGTGGGGTCACACGTCCAGGCTGGTTTGCCATCCAGGGATTCGGAGAACGTTGTTTGCCATCCGTCAACGCTTCTGGTGGCCCACACTGGCCGCAGATGTCAGACAGTTTGTGTTGGCCTGCCCCACATGCGCCCAATGTAAGCCAGTGAATCGCCCTCCCGATGGTCTGCTTCATCCTCTTCCTGTCCCTTCCCGTTCATGGTCACATATTGCCCTTGATTTTGTCTCTGGGCTTCCCCCATCGAAGGGTAACACTGTGGTTCTCACTGTGGTGGATCGCTTTTCCAAGGCTGTTCATTTCATTCCCCTGCCCAAATTGCCCTCCGCCTGGGAGACTGCCCAACTGATGGTGGATCACATGTGATGGCTCCATGGATTGCCGGTTGACGTGGTTTCAGATAGGGGTCCTCAGTTCACCTCCCGGTCCAGAGGAGAGATGCTGGGTGCCGTTCTGGGACATTTTGGACCGTTCGTTGATCGAGGACTTCCGTCGGCGACAAGGTGGGCCTCCTCCTGGGGTGCCTGGTGGCACTCCTGGGAGGGGGGGTACTGTCGGGTCTTGGGTCTGACCTGTTTCTTGTTGTCTCTGTGTTTGTGTGTTGTTGTGCGTGGCTTGTTCTGACAGCTCGCCACGTGCGCATATGTCAGCATGATTGTTTCCCCGCCCTCCTTGTTTCTCTGCTCGCCTCTTGTTCACACCTGATTCTGGTCATCTCATTAGCTTCCCCTTATAGCTCCTTGTATTTCTCTGTCTTTTGTCAGATTGTTGTGATTATTCCCTTGCTCTGACTGTCAGTGTTAGTATCGCTTACCAGTCCTGTCTTGTCTCGTCCAGGCTCCAGTGCTCATAGCTGCCTGTTTATTTTCCCGCACCTCTCTGTGCGTTCAGAAACCCTTGGGCTTCCTCCAGCATCCGCCTACCCTGGGACTCTGCGGTCTCGTTGTTGGGCTGCTCAGCCTCTCGCTCGGATTAGCGAGTTGCCCCTCCGGCTATGTCTCCACTGCCGCCGTTGCGGCTTGTTCCAGCCGCTGCTATCCACCCATCTGTGTGGTTGGGGATTCCACGTCCACACTAACTGTCCGCGAAGGCACTCATTGCCCGCGGTGATAATCTCTGTACAATAAAGCCTCTATTGAAACCGCACCTGAATCCAGCCTCGTTTCCCTGACAACAACTCCACATTGAGCATTTCTGGTTCCATCATCCTGAAGTCAATGGGTTTTTGAATGGGTTTTAGGTGAAATGCCTGAAATAAGGCCTGTGGTTAAAATCTGCTTAAGATATGTTCATTTTATATTCTATGACAAGTGGCTAAATGTGGACATTAAATGTTATAATGCCAAACAGTAAAAGTTGTGCATTCACCAGTCCACTTTCACAGCCTCATTGTGTTTATAATCACTCTCTAGCAAACTATTCTACCTCAAATTTTAAAACAAAGATTGAAAGAGCTGTCCAAAGATTAATGATGGTGACGCTGTCACACATTCATAGTAAAGTTCATTAATATCATAACTTCTGGTGATTGTACACTGAACAAAATTATAAACACAGCACTTTTTTTTTTTGCCCCCATTTTTCATGAGCTGAACTCAAAGATCTAAGACTTTTTCTATGTACACAAAAGGCCTATTTCTCTCAAATATTGTTCATAAATCTGTCTAAATCTGTGTTAGTGAGCACTTTTCCTTTGCCGAGATAATCCATCCAACTCACAGGTGTGGCATATCAAGATGCTGATTAGACGGCATTTATTGTGGCCAGCCCAAGGCACACCTGTGCAATAATCATGCTGTCTAATCAGCATCTTGATATGCCACACCTGTGAGGTGGATGGATTATCTCGGCAAAGGAAAAGTGCTCACTAACACAGAATGAGATGAAGACTGTTCTCATTATAGCTTTCTATAAAAAATATTTTAATTGGGCTGTGTGGTGCGGGTCACCCTCACCCACACAAAATGTGTAAGAATAATACATTTTTGTTGGTCATAGAGCTTATCTTCACTGGCTTTTTATTAAGGGAACCAAAGTGATGCTAACTTCTGGGTTGGCCTACAACTGGAGTCTGGGATTAAAAGAGGATGCCCACATACTTTTGGTAATATACGGTAGTTTACATCATGTTTTACAGATTTAGAAATATCACCATTGGATTTCAACTAAATTTCAGCTACCAGTTTCAAATAACATGTGTTAAGGTCTGAACTGGCTCACCTGCGCTAATGCAGTTGAAGTCACGTGGTGTAAGGTCATGGATGCGTCGACCCTGGAACTCAAAAGGACTGCCGCAGTATATGGCGGGAACTGAGGTGTTGGTCTTCTCCATCCAGTCAACCAGCCATTTGATCTTACAGTCACAACGGAACGAGTTCCCTCGCAGGTCTCTGCATTGGAGAGAGAAATAAAAAGGTACAAAAGAGTGAAAAAAAACATGAATTTTCCCCTGTTGACTCTGATCTGTGAGTAGTTTTCATTCTGGGATCCATGGAAAATTTTAGAGGTTTTTTTATTTAGTTTTGTCAAGAAATATATTACATTTTCTATATCTAAAAAAGTTGATTTAGCTTCAGTACAGTCAATGCAAAATAAAAGGTAATCATTTTATTTTGGAAACATTTTTACTGTATAATACAATGCTTACTATTTTTCACATACAGCATAAATGGGTCTGTATACATGAAAAGAAAAAGCTCAGTCCCTCACAGAGGAATATTTGGGAATCTGGTACATACAGGTCAGTGAGGATGTCCAGGTGTTTGAAGAGATCTCTGGGAAGAACCTGCAGGTTGTTGTTGGACAGAGACCTGACATGAAGAAAATTCAAACCAGAGAGACATAACATGACCTACTTATCCCTCCATTCTTTATTCTAATCTATAAGGTACAACAACTAACACATTACTGTGTGATTTGAGTACTGAAGACTGGACCATATAAAAGCGTTTTCTGTTCCAAATGAGTCTGAACTCTTTTGGAACTGTAGAGAATTAACACGTTTAAATACATATACATGTCAAATTGATTTATTTGATTATTAACATTTTTATTTTTGAATCAATACGCTGATAATTGATTACTTCATAGGTAGATGCAATACATACAGATGTGTCAGAGACTTCAGTCCTCTGAATGTGTGCTTTGACAGGGTTTGGATGTCGTTGTTCTCAATAAATCTGTAAAGAAGCAGAATACAGTATAGGAATTAAATGAGCCATTTAAGTCATGTAAATTAATTCAGCCAACAACTCATTTGTCAGACAGCTACGAAATTAAATATTTGTAAATTTGCAGGTGAAGTCATTAACATGATTTAGGTGCCGTGTACCATTTGAGAGAAGATAAAAGATTAGGACAGGGATATTAATCAAATGGCATGTTTTCTCCCCCTATGTTTATTGTTATAAACAGTAAGGATGCAAAGGCATGCTGCCTGCTCCCTGATGGATTCATGAGTCATGGCGTTCAGAAGACCTGCCTCCGTCTGCAAACCTTGCCACATTTGCTTTGCTAAAGCTTTTAGCTTAATGACACTGAGGTTGTGGGCATTTTCATTAATGCCCCCCCCCCCCCCTCTCTTTTATCTCATTCGCTCTCTTTCTGCAGTCATTGAGCTGCCAATGCTTTCGTCTGAAAGACGCTACCTGAATCTTAAGAAGGACTCTGAAGAAGAAACTGCACAACCAGGATGAAGATGAGAGACACAGACATGCACACACAAGTCTCACTCAAAGATGTCTTTTTAATACCTGGAGAAAGATATTAATATTCCAATCCATCTCAGTGGCTTTCAAAACGTATTTGATTTAAATTTTCCTTTTGTTAATCTGCTATTATATAATAAAATGCAGTGTTGGGGAAAGTTACTTTTAAAAGTAATCCGTTACAATATTGAGTTAAGGCCCGTTCAAACCGAAAACGATAACTATAAGGATAACGATATTAGCGTCCACACTCGAGCTCGTTACAGCAGGATGGAGTCTGATTGGCTGTCAATGTTTGTGTCGTTCATCAGCTGGAAAACAATCGTTCTGAAAGTGATTCCAACGATATTGTTTCTCTGTGCCTTTATCGTTATAGTTGTAGTGTGGACTCTGCTATTCTTTAATATTGAGAACGATTTTTAGAACTATATCTTTATCTTTATAGTTATTGTGCTTGGTGTGAACGGGCCTTAACTCCATAAAAAAACGAATTGGGTCACTTAGTTCTTTATGGAAAGTAATGCGTTACTTTTGTGTTACTTTTTGTCACCTGGGCTAGGCTTGCTTATTTGTTTATTAATAACAAAAAATCCAAAAGTTATATTTCTGGCAACTGTAAAGACCCTTTCACACCAAAAGTGAAATGAATAAGCCTCAAAACGGTTGTGCAGTAATTAGTGAATAAATGGGAAAACAAAGTAACCGGCATTACTTATTTGAAAAAATAAGTTGGATATTTTGTTGTAAATTCAAAATTAATGTATTACTTTACTAGTTACTTGAAAAAAGCAATCTGATTACATACCTTGTGTTCAGGCTTGATTTTATAAGAAAAAAAAAATAGTATAAACCTGTCTGGTTATAATGAGCAAACACTTTCAAAACCCTAAGCAGACGATGAAAACGAAAAGAAGCTGCATATTTTTAGATCCTTCTTTCATTTATGTGACCAAAAGCCAGTGTCTAAAACATATCAGAATAAATCACACTTAAAATGCAACAGAAGACATCTAATCTGCCCATCTGTTGGGCAAGTGATCAATCCACCCACCCATCCACCCACTCCTCCTCTATCCTTCAGGCCAACCATCGATCAGGCCATCCATCCATCCATCAAGCAACATGGAAACATACTCACAGGTACTGCAGATGTCCAAGACCGGCAAAAGCATCATCAGAAATCAGCGAGAATGTGTTGGAGTTCAACAGCCTGGGCAGAACAAAGAGAAAGAGACAAAGATAAGAGCTTGCACTTTCATTGAGCTGAACATTTCTCATACATTTTAGACACGTTTATAGACTTTCTTAGGGCCGGTACTATTTTACTGCTGTAAAGAAGAACATTTATTTTGATGTGTTGACTAACATACTAAAGCATATGTATAGTACTTGCTTATAAATGTATAAGTAGCATGTTATTCGATATCATATTTAAAGATAATATATTTTAAATGTACTAAATTGCAACTTCATCCTTTCAAATGTATAATTACAAACATATTTACATATGCGACATAGAAGTTTCAATAGAAATGACTTTAAAGTATTTAGTTGATCATAAAATCTTGTCAGTACATTTAGCAGTGCACTTTTACCATATTTCAAACACAACATAAGTAATTGTGAAATTACACATAAAGATACACTTAAGTCCTACTTAAGTGGATAAGAAAAGCACACTTAAGTTCTTAATAATAATAATAATAATAATAATAAGTACTCTTTTTATAAGTATGCTAAAGTGTACTTTTTTTACAAAAGGCATGCACTTATAATAATCGTCTATATGACAGTACATTGTGTTAAAATGTGACAGGAGTTAAAATATGTTTGAAACTGTGTATTTAAATTTTTGATCTCAGTGCAATGTCTTACCCTGTACTTCAAATGTAAGTGCTTTACCATAAACATGATTTTCAGATGTTTTCATAAACTGAGGGGAATTATTTTCTGTGGTAATCAACAATATGTCACAATTATTGCAAATTAGAGTTATACAAAATTTCAAATTGTATGCAATATAAATATTTATGTGCAAAAATCTAAATGTTGTTGTTTAAGAACTGTCTCTAATTGATCAGAAACACTGAAAGGCTGCATTGCCTGAAAGATCACCCTGTAAATCCATTATCACTGCCTTCGGCGTTTATGAATCCACAATAAATTCCTGTGGCTGAAAGCACACCTTGCCTATTGGTCTCAAATAATAGACACACCGCAAAGCACACATCATCTTCATGACATCTGACTGCTATATGCAAATTACTTCAGCAAGGAACAGAACGAGAAGTACAGATATTACTGCTGACAGTACATACAAACAACACCATATTTTCATACAGAAACAAAGTTTAAATGTTACATATAACATTTTTACATGTATTATACTAATATATTTTACAAAGCATTGCATATCTGATATTGCAGGACATTTTTTATGTGTTTACTGATTCAGTGACTGAAGAACTGGCATGCTGTCATTGGAAAACAAACTTCTCTTCTTGTGTCTTTCACACACACACACACACACACACACACACACACACACACACACACACACACACACACACACACACAGCGGGAGCACAAAAACGCTGTTGTTGTGTGAGTGTGGGCAGTCTGTAAATGGAGGGTCTGTCACTGATACACATCACACTACACACTGCTCAGACAAGCAGCTGACAAACACTACAATCCTCACACTTTGCCCCCCCCCACACACACACACAGGCCATAATAAGAAAATGCAGAGGAGGATCATTGTGCATTTGGTACTTACAGGAACTGCAGTAGGTGCATGTGGGAAAAAGCTCCTTCAGGAATCTCTGTGAAAGCAGCGTTCACCATAGTCCTGATAGAATAGCAGAAACCACCATCATAATCATTATCATCTTCGTCATCATCACAAATATAGCTGCTGTTACAGTCATCGTAAAGTAAAAACTCATAAGTTCAGAAAAATGTCTATATATAGATGTAGGGGCTTTAACTCTAAGTATACCACTAGCATTATGATGAATAATTTAGGAGAAGCACCCCTTTTTCCCAATGTTTATATCATTTACATATAGTTAAAAGTAATTTTAGTCTAATTCTGAGCAGTTATGTTTGGCCTTTTTCTTAACCGGTTGCTCTGCACACCTGAAAGGATCTCACAAATGAATTATTAGAAAGTAGGACACAGATCTTCCTTCCTTCTTATATTCTCAGTCTGAAAATAATGGCACCATCAGCAGGCACTGTCTTTAGTACAGGAGCAGGTGGCTGGACATCGAGGGGTTTTGGGAGCCCTGCGGCCCACCGCCATCCCAAACATACAGAAAACCAGCACACAAACAGACAGTCGCCAATCTGGCCATCGAGGGGTCCATCTGGGCCTTGCTTCCACCATCTTCCACCTTCTCTTCTCCAGTTTGAGTTGTCTCAGACAAGAAACACAGACGGCTGGATGATCCTGGTTTCTATCCGTCCCTATCAAGAAAACTGCAAGAGAAGATGATCCAGGGAGTGAATTGGGCTCAGAAGAGACGGACACAGAGAGAGTGGGCAGTGGGTGCGTGTATGAGGGTGTATTTGATTTTCTCAGTGTTCTCTGCAGTCGTATCTCTCTCTCTCTCTCTCTCTGTGCACAGACTGCAGGAGCGTATCAGCCAGCGCTGCTCTGCACACGCTCAGCCTCAGACCAGACAGAGTGCAGCAACGCTGACACTGAATTATTAACAATCGCATGGACTAACACTTAAACTGCAGCAGGGAACACAGCAGAGAAAGTAGTGGGATGGGGAGGTTGAACCAAGATGAAGAGGCAGGGGTGATGGACCGGTCAGTGGAGGTTATACTAAATAATGTACTACAAAACTCTTGTTTATGCTCAAGCATCACATCTTATAGAAGTCAGTGCACAAGCTTGAAAAAGCACCTTTTAGAACAGTATTCCGGTTCATGAAGGAACTATAATTCATTTTATGTCATAAATAAATGAGGCGACATGGTAATGGTGAATAAGGCTGCGACTGAATTCAATAACTGTATAGTCTGATGTGCTGCATGTTTCAAAGTGAAGCACGGCACTGTGTTCACGTGAACAGCTCAAATACAGTAAATGTAGCAAACTTCAATTCTGCATGTCTTCCAAGTTTAACGTCCATTTGGGAAGGCAGTGTGCATTAGGTTTATGTTATTGACACATTCAGATCATTTCCCAAATTTTCGTGGGCAGAAGTTTGCAGCATTTCACCATCTGCCAAAATAAAAGCTTGAGGATTTAAAATGGTTAAAGGTTTAAACGTTTGAAAGTGAAGACACAAAAATTAGTATCGTAGTGTGAAATAACATTTTAATAAAAAATAATAATTATAATTATTATTCATTATTTGTCAGCTAATACAAATTACAATAATGTTAAACAAAAAATTTATGATGATGATGATGATAATAATAGTAATAATTATTATTATTATTATTGAGTTCCTAAAACGTCAGTGTTAATGTAATGTGAACTGAGAAACTATCACAACTAAAAAAAAAGTTTGTTTCCACTTTCATGTCCAGCTACAAAGTAACATTAAAACACTTACAAAAAAAATTAATAAATAAAAAATAAAATAAAATAAATCTAAAAAAAATATATATATATATATAGATAGATATATTATCTATTTACTTGCATGTCATGTAATTACTAACCAACATCAGAGAAATGTGAACATGCAAATAAGTTTTTGAAATATACCTGTAAACCTAAAAGGATGGGTAAATATTTTGCATATAAGGGGTACACCTGACAAAAAAGTTCTGGGCCCACCAACAATAGGCTACGCATTTTGGATTTTCCCCTTATCGGACACTTTTATCAGGTCTTGGACTCTACTACTGAGCTTATGGTTTGAATCAGGTGTGTTTGATATACAACATGTACAGTGTTAGAGGGCAGTCAGCCTAGACTTTTATGATATTATCTGATGTCAGCTCTGTAGCACCTTATTTTAAAACATTAATTCAACATATAACACAGTTTTAAAAAATCCAAAATGTGAACGTATATAATCAACTCCACATTCCTACAAAAATAGTGGCTTTAAGTTTGTGTTTCAGATACGAGGTTGCACTGTGACGTATCAGTCTTTTATTGGTCACACGTTTTCACATTAGTTCATATTAGTTCTGTTCTAGACACATAGACTGTTAAAGGGATAGTTCACACAAAAATGAAAATTCCAACAAAAAAGTTCTGGGCCCACCAACAATAGGCTACGCATTTTGGATTTTCCCCTTATCGGACACTTTTATCAGGTCTTGGACTCTACTACTGAGCTTATGGTTTGAATCAGGTGTGTTTGATATACAACATGTACAGTGTTAGAGGGCAGTCAGCCTAGACTTTTATGATATTATCTGATGTCAGCTCTGTAGCACCTTATTTTAAAACATTAATTCAACATATAACACAGTTTTAAAAAATCCAAAATGTGAAAGTATATAATCAACTCCACATTCCTACAAAAATAGTGGCTTTAAGTTTGTTTCAGATACGAGGTTGCACTGTGACGTATCAGTCTTTTATTGGTCACACGTTTTCACATTAGTTCATATTAGTTCTGTTCTAGACACATAGACTGTTAAAGGGATAGTTCACACAAAAATGAAAATTCCGTCATCATTTAATCACTCTCATGTTATTCCAAACCCATAAGACCGTAGTTCATTTTTGAAACACAAATTAAGATTTTTAAGATTAACATTATGAAAACATGAATAAAGTCCATTCCCCTAAAACAATTTATAAAGACACTGTGAAAAATTCAAAAAAGTATTTAATGCAGCAGTTTTATCAATGATCGCGTAATGAACTGATTTATTTTTAAGTCTTTTAGTCACATATAAACATTGATCGATTTATTTAAGCCCAGTCGCGTTCATTAAGTAACTGTTGACAGATTTTCATTTTAGGGTGAACTATTCCTTTAAGAAAAAGAGGCATCACTATCACATTAGTCCTATGAATTTTTACGCCTTTGATATGCAACTCATTCTGTACAGTTTGTTCTACAGACATGAATGAGACTTCAATTTATGTGGAGAAGCAGCATCAGACACCCCATTTTTAAATATTATTATTAATTATAAACAGAAAATGAAATTGGTAATATTTACTATTATTATTTATAGTACACCCACCCACACACACACACACACACACACACAATATCGTAATATAAATATTGTTCATTTAACATAATAATATAATATATTCAAAATGTATTATCTACTGTAAATATTTAATAGCTATGGCTTTTACAGTAGGAATAGAAGAGAAGAGACTTCAATTTATGTGGAGAAGCAGCATCAGACACCCCATTTTTAAATATTATTATTAATTATAAACAGAAAATGAAATTGGTAATATTTACTATTATTATTTATAGTACACCCACCCACACACACACAATATCGTAATATAAATATTGTTCATTTAACATAATAATATAATATATTCAAAATGTATTATCTACTGTAAATATTTAATAGCTATGGCTTTTACAATAGGAAGAGAAGAGAAGTTATATCAGGACATGCGATACTGCAGAAACTGAGTAAAGCTACTGACCTCATTTCAAATGCAACATTGAGTTCACATCTGCAATCCAGTCACATCTGTAGAAAATATCAAATTTATGCATGCATTCTAATGTATCTTCGAAGAGTATGAACGATAATAATAGGGAAGCTTGCCTTAGTAGACAAGAATATGTACACACATTCATTTTGTCAAATATAATTGTACATTTAAGTATATGAGCGTCTTTAATAAGTTTAAATCAGACTATTATAAAGTGGCACTCTTCTCAAGATATTAAATCAAACATATGCTTGAGTGATCTAAAGTGCTCGGAGTGATTATTATTATAGGTGAACACAAGAGGGCACTAAAGCATTACCTTCAACACTTCCTGTGAATGAAGAACTGGCTTCTTTTTCTTTCTCCCCTCCACTTCCTGCTCTCGTGGTCACTGTGTTCTGGGCAGGGTGGCACTGCAGCGGCAGGCACGGCTGTCACCAGCTGACACCACTCAGCTA